AGTGACGACGACAACGACCTGTAACCTATATTAATGTACATACAAGTGTGATGATTTTGTTTCCAGTTGAAGCCATAACTGTACCATTTTTGATAACCTTTTACACAACTCTAACTTTACTATCCAACTTTAATCAACGGCTAACTTTGTCAGTCTATGGATCAACACGTTGAGAAAGAAACGGCAATTGGCAAACAGTGCTGAGCAGCGCGTCCAAATATGCGTTAAGTACATGTCGACGAGTGGCAAGCAAAGCATATTTTAAAGTTGCTTGCTTTTTTGGTGAAGCTGCTTACAATGCTGCTTGTTAGTTAACTCGATTTTTAAACAAGATGACCACTTGTGGTTCATCGTACCTAAAAAGGTGCAAGCAATATCTACGTTATGTAAGAAACACAACAAAAATTAAATCGGATCACATAGTAATGTCGAACTGAAGGTACGGAGATGATCCTGTCAGACATCATTTTCCTGAAATACGCGACTAAAAAATGGCATGCGTCGGAGTCCCATTGACTTATTTAGATGTTAAAAACTTAAGATGAAATATTGGAATACGTGTTTCTGCAATCAACTGGTTGGTTTTAAAAGCATTTAAAACTTCCAAGAGTATAGAAAAGAAAACGAAAAAAGAAATTTCCTATCGTAATATAACAATTTTATCCAATTTTTGCTATGTTCATTTTCGCGCATGAATGTCTAAAATTGGCCCGTTTGTGGTACCGTGCTAGTTTGACCCAACCTAGCTCGAAACGTCGACGTACCAATTAAATTTCACAACCGGCTTCCTGCAGCCTGTCAAAATTTGTGGCAAATAATTTACGGAAATGGAAAATCAACGCATTTTTAAAGCTGCATGGTACATTTTGATATAAAATGATGAGGTGTTATTAAGCTCATAACTCGGCTCCCTTACAAGATGGAATGACGCAAATGGTTTCGATCAAAGGACAATACAGAGCGCAATCGTTTGTAGGAAACATGACTAGAAGCGCTAGATGACTCGCCTTATAATATTCAAACAACCATAAAACACGTTAAAGATACCTCCAAGAGCTATGAGTAATGTTAGGTACGAAATCCATCACAACAAGGAATGTGAGTGTATTTTCGTGCTTAACGTCTTGTCACACAATGTCATGACCGTAACATGGGGTAAATTTCCGGAAATATAACTCTGATCGTCTAATTCGATCTCCAGCCACCGTTGGGATAATATTTGTTGCTTGACCAATAGGCCAATTTCCATCTCATTTTTCGGAGAGAGATTGTGCAAGAAACGGCACATCATTCCACACTGAGCGTGCATGAGTGACCGGGATCGTAAAATATTTTGTTTTAGAATAACCGCTGGCGATAACCATATTGTACGTGAGTGATGTGTTTTGAGGGGATTGTCGGTGTCTGATTTTAGAAGCCAACACAAAGGTGGTGAATTTATGTGAATCTGCGGCGAATTAATTCTCGCTCGGAAAGTCGACGCGGTAGATTCATCCTCAATTACAAAAGCCCCTTCATGTTACATCCGTTTAAGCCATGGTCATGAAATTTAAAAAAGGTACCAGTTCGATCCATTACGATTGCTACGTTTAGGGGACGGGAATCAGCAGGACGATTTTGTCTGATCTCCGTTCATGCGTGCATAGGTTACCGTTGGAGCGTAATGATGAACCTTAATTTAAGTTAGTGCGGGAAGAATGATGGTCAACGGATCTTCCCGTGGTAGAACATAGATAATGCAAGACTTTAAAAGCAGTGTGGAAATTTTAAAATTTTCAAATAATTCAATTTTGGACCGAGCTACAGCCAAAAGCCGACTTTTGTAGCGCTATTGGAAAACGTTTCCTTCATGCTTTACATAGGTATCAAAGCCTGGATGCTTATAACCGGCGCTCCGATATGCACATTATTGGTTGCAGTGTACTCGGCCCAGTGTGATGAAAACGGCGTTTGACGTTGATATCATAACATTGGAGGTGGGTGACCGATCCTTGATCTTTACAAGCGCCAGACATGCACACTGTGATCTAATTTGACGCCGCAGACGCCGCAGACGCCGCAGCGTAATAACGTTGGCTTGCTTTGAACATAAGGAATCTTATAGATCCACATACGGACACAGACAGGGAGGGGTGGAACCAGGCATAAGGGGCACTTGGCCCCTTCGGTCCCTCGGGATCCAGATGTTCGCTCAGGACTGACAATCAACGGCCCGATTACAGAGCACACAGGGCCGAAGGGCTGACCGGAGATCTCCAGTCCGAAGGACCGGAGCCCTCTGATGTCAATCAAACTGTCTCTGGTGGTGAAAGGGGCCCATCTGAGAAAAGACCTTCACTTCCGTCGAGATCACCAACAATCGGCCCTTTGTCGGACTGAGACCCATTTTCCAGGCATGGACACTGTCTGGGCCCACGAATGGCATTCAAAGGACCTCGCAAGTTGCATTGGTTGCGGTTCTCTTGTCTGACACGATGTCCTCTGATCACAGTGCATACGTAAAAATAAATTTTGTGCTGCTCGAGTCGGCCAGAGGCCCATTTGGTATCCATCACGGCCCATCACGTGCCTTCTCCCGTGGTTCGGACCCTCTGAGAACGACAGAAGATTAAAGCAGTGAAATGGTGCATCAGACTAACGAGACATTTAAGGGCTCCGATTCTCACAGGAGGCCTCAGTAATAACCGGAGCTCTCTACTCCGCTTCGACCAGTGGCTCGTTGAGTGGAACTGGGTCCCCTGTGCAAATTATTTGACTCCCTACGACCGTATGTGATCTTCCTGCATCAGTGAGAGCCACTGCCTCTATCCGGGTGCAGCTGCCCCGCTGAGAAGACAGGCCGCGTCGGGGAGGGGACCGGTATACAATACATTCCCTGAGGGCCTCGGAATGGATCAAGGGGCCCCGATTCCCACGTCGCAAGATGGAAGCTGGTGAATACCTTGCGCTGGGATGGAAAGGTTCTTGAGCCACTAACCGGAAAAAGTAATACCCCTCCCCTGGTGTACTACCATCTACTAGCGTAGGTGCAGTGTGCTATGCACAGTATATCTACCACCCCAGTGTTCTATCCACGTTCTCCTCCGTCCCGCATATCCGAGGGTCTGTTAAGTTTGTAAAATTCCTTGATGTCCTCTATGAGCGCGAAAGCCGGAGGAAGCGGATTAAAGATGAATGAAATTAGGTGAATTCCGTTAAACCTTTGAGTTTTCATCAGGGGCCTTTATTTGCGCTGTGTTCTCCCTTTTCAACTTACCAAGACTCTCCTCTACACACCACATTATTCTCCAACGCCTTCTCTTGTTCTCCTAGACTTTTCCTGAAACATTCCTTCTTCTTTATAGTTCCACACAGCCCCAAACTTCGTTGTGCTTCTAAAAGGTCTCGAAAACTCCACATCTGTTTCCATTGTGTAGTTTCCGATGTCGCCTTCTTTCAGAAACAACGTAGATACACATCGAAGCACAATGCACCATGCGTCACAGCATTTATTAGTGACTCAATGGTTCACATAGAATGTCGCATAACCCATGCCTGCAACAAAGTACACTTTAACGAGCACACACAAGTTGCATCTCTGAGTTGACCTGTACACGGTACACCACATTTTTCTGAACAGGAAACATACCAACAAACCTTGAACCTGGCGGAGGAGATCGCCTATGCCATGCTAGAGCTCCCAGCATCGTACCTGAGACAAATAGGCGGTTACGTAGCACATATGCTCTGCGACGGTTTTTGATGCAACAGCATCGGAGCCAGTGCAGTCACAATGACTTGGCTACAGAACATCAACGCTGGATACCCAGAGGTGTACCGCAGTTTAAGATCAGTTAGTTTTTCGAAGTAGGAGCGGCACCTGCTACCATCTTCTCCCGCTGCGCGTGTGGGCTTCCCGAAACAGACATTGGAATTTGCAGAACCGTAAGAATTCCTAAGCTTTGTCAAAAGAAGTGATCTGGCAGTGTTTACGCAGCCCTTAATCGTGATACCACGAAGGTGACGCGCCGAAGACGGTGAAACTACGTCGAAGCTGGTGACACGGTGCTGTTATTGACGACATCGCGCCGGATCTGTAAGCACGACGACGAAGCCGGCCACGACGGAGCCCGTGAACGGAGGAACCTGTTGACCTGAAACAACATTCAAATGCCATATGAAATTCTAAGAGTGAAAACAGGGAGCCCTAACAGAACGGCCACGCTCAGCAGACAAAGCCAAGGTAAACTTGAGTTTCACTTTAGGTGAAACTGGGAAATTCCCTCCACTGTCTACACTACAAATCATTTCACACCTCCAAATGATTCCTAAACGGATGGCTTTGCCCGTCCATAACATACGGGTAGAAAAGGTTTTGATTGCCCACATTTTTTCGCACTTTGCGAACCCTGGCAATATTGGAGTAAAAAAATGTTGCAGCTTGTACCGTCGTGACAACACAAGATTCTCAACCATGGTCTGCCCTGTTCTACAGCAAGGCCGCTCACACCACACAAACTCCCTACCCTAGGTTACCATTAGACGTCACATGAGGCAAAATTCGTGTTGAAATAAAACGCCTTGGTACACCCGTTTGATATAAATAGGGCGGAAAATAGAAGTAATAAATACCTCAAACATACTCGTCCAAAATCCATGACACGTGACCGGAGAAGCGGAACAATTGGCATTAGATAATTGACCTGACCTGACATGATCTTAGTCTGAACCGCTATGACCTTAGCATGAACTGACATGACCTTAGCCTGAAATGACATGACCTGTATGCCGGAACTGACATGACTTTAAATTCAGTGCCGAAAAAGCATAACAACCAATCACAAAATCTAGTTTTTAACTCTATGATATGATCCTAACGGACAAGGATGCGTTCGTTCATTTCACCTAGTTACGCAGGTCTACGGTCAATATTGTTGGTGTAATTGTTCTGATATTTGTTTTAAAATGCTGGTTTCAGTTGATCTGAGGTCACTGAAGACTTCAATGATTTTTAAGGTGACCTGCACTGCCTGTAGGCGTCGGTCAAGCATGTTATATATGTCAACATCAATGCCTGGGTGCAGTTGCACAGGATGACCACTGTTGAATTTTTAATTAAACGATTTGATTCTTAGATATCATAAACACAACGTACTGTTGGCGCTGGAATGTTAGGGGCTCCGTATTTCGGACATCAATTTAGAACGAACCACCTGGTATGACTGCACTTTTGCTAGCGTGCGTTTCAGACCATGTGACATTTTTTCTTAGTTAAAAAACACAAAGTAATGGAGCGTTCCATTCACTCATCATGCTAGTAACAACGCTGAAAAAATTCATTGTAGGTAAAGGCCACCGTGATGCATGCTCCTGACGTCAGATACATAGTCAGGGACGTTCTCCTGGCGCAAAAGCTAGATATCAGAAGCGACGGGACAGGATGGGACAAACAAAAAGCAGAACACACGGTAGTGCATGACAGATGACACGGCAGGACAGAAGACTTGGGCGGGGGGGGGGGGAGGGTTAAAAGTCCAGGATCGAGTAAGAGGGCAGAAAGCGGAGGACAAAAACAAGACGACCAGATAAAACAACAGAAAACAGATGAACACGAAAGCCCGCCCGCCTTGGCCAGCCCACACTTTTATGTTCTGTTCAAGACAAACAGGACAGGACAGGGACAGGACAGACCCGGCCATGACAGGCTCGGCTTAATGGGAGTGTTTCACCTTCGCCCAATGATGGTGCCTCATGCCCTCCCCGAAAGATGTTGGAAACTGGCAGGCTATGGCTACGGCAGACACGGCATGGAAAAGGTCTAGTCAAGCTGCACTAAATGGGGTGTGATTAAATGTGGAGGAGCGTAATATTGGACAGATCAATCAGGTCATATCCATCTAATTAGAGTGCCTAGCTGTCTCCTCATATGTAATGAGCTAAAATTGCTAAAACAATGCAGAGGATGGGCGTCATATGGGTTCGGGAAAGCCTTACCAGAGGATTAAAAATAGGTTAACACCGCCAGGTGTGACCTGGGACGTCGTTTTCGTCACTTGGCTTTTACAACGCACTCAGATGCTGAGGCTATGTGGCGTCGCCTGCCTCCCATCCTGGCAGGAAGAGTGGACACCGCGAAGAATCCAACCCCGTACCTCTGGCTTCCTAGATGAGCAGTCCTACACTGTCGGTACCCATACGATATGGCATGCCAGATCAAAGCAGGAAAAGCTGTTGTTGCATGGACCCACCCAGCGATATTAGGAAACTTTCATAGCTTTAACACCATTCAGTGTCACATCGGAACAGCTTCAAAAAGCAAAGCCGTTTACAAAAATCATAGTTCGACCTAGCTTGGCCTTGGTGAAGACACGTGACAAAAAAACTAGAACGATTTCGATGCACAACAGTGATATTGATATGCGATTCAAGGGTCAAAGGTCATCGCCATTGTCACTGGCTCGACATCCGCACCAGGACATAAACACTGCCATCTGGTTCATTGGCTATTCATCCACTCAAAAAAGTACCGTTTACATGGGTGGTCGAAGGTGCTACCAACTTAGACTGGAAGGATAATCTGACCAAGGACCTCTCATTTGCGTGAACATAGGCAAAACCGACCCTACGTCTGTTTGAAAGCCGGTAGTCCAAGCTTAGATGTTTCAGATCGAGGTGCAATTGTGTGGACGAAGTGCGTTTTTGAGACCGATGGTCGCAGTGGTGCAGCTGCTTTGCGGGTGATAGCTGGAGAGCGTCAGGGCTTGTGCGGAGATCGTGGCCGGATAGATGTGTGAAAAGATGGACCTCGCCAGATTACCCACCAAACGGCGTCGAATGGTGCATATTTCTGTTAGTAGATGTTTTGTGCCTATCAGTCTCACAGGCTCGGAGCATGCAGTTGCCTGCAAACTTTGATTTTTGTTTCGGGCTTTTTTCCGGTTCCTGCTCTGACCCAAGGTCACCATCTTTTGGAAAGGATAGACCGTCAGTAAAACTTATCTGCACACAAATTTTTTGTAAGTTGGGGCACTTATGATGACCTCTGACCTGGCACAAGGACATTGCCTTCTGGACAGAATGGCTATCGACCATGGCGCATCGATTGGTAAGATGGAGGACTGGAGGACAGATGGAGCTTTGGCCACTGTTCCAACAAGACGGGTTGCGCGGTCAGATGACTGGTGTACGGTAGCTAAAGCTCCGGACACCACTTCGACAAGACAGGCCATGTCGTTCGGTCGCTTGTGGATAACTGGGGCTCCCAATACCCTAGCAAGCTTTGGACACCTCTGCATGTCCGCAGGTCTGGCTCCTTTACCTCCGGAAAACAAAGCAACATAATACCGCATCAGGCAACAACCAATTAAAAAAGTCTAGCCTGTCAGGGAACACAGAAAGTAAGCTACTGTAGCTGTAGGTTCCCCACAAAAAGGTATATCAAATAACATCGTGCCCAGAACGACCGCGGCAATACCAGCGATAACGACCCACAGAGTAAGACGAACCGAATGGATGTGGCCCTCAACCAACGTTCAACGTTAAAGAAAATGCGGTAAGTCTTGTCCTGGCGACCTTGACGTTGGAAGGGCTGTAACTTCTCTGATACAGCGTACCGGTCCAAGATTTGGTATTGATTGTAGTCAGGTCAATATCTACCAGTACGCGGAATTTGGAAAGAATTGAAGGAGTCGCCATCATTATTGGGATTTTTAATCTTGCTCTATCTCCGGTAATAGGGCGTACCGGTCGAAGATTTTATGCTAATTATGCTCAGAAAAATACGCCACAAGTATTAAGAAATTTTCAGTTCAATGTAAGGAGTCCGCTGAATATCGAATATGAAGCTGAGTCAAGGATGAAGAAAATGTTTTCCATGCCACATATATGGCATACCTTAGCAGCCTTTGCATTTAAAAAGCTATAACTTTTTTGATACAGCATATCGATCCAAAAGTTTGTGCGTATCGTAATCAGAAGGCTAATATGTATAAACACCGATTTTGGAAAGGATTGAAGGAGTCCGCACTGTTTATGGTGATCTTACATATTGTGATGTCTCCGGTAATAGGGCGAACCGGTCCGAGATTTTGTGCTCATTGTGGTCAGGAGATTAAGCTGCATCTGTATGCTAATTCATAGGCAAATTTAAAAAGTCTGCTGAATATCGAATATGAAACTGAGTCAAGCATGATAAACAACACGCCCTCGAGCCTAGTTAATACGGATCTTTGCTAAGAGGGGAACGCAGTTTAGTACCGATTCGTACTAAAAGTGGCGGCGTTTAGTACGCGAAGACGCTAAACAGAGCAGCCCGGTAATCCAGGGCTGAACAGAGGAAATGAGGCTGTTTAGAGGCGAAGGTCGTGAATTTCTTTTCGTTCGATGGGAGTAGAAAACCTTCGCCATTTTGGGATCTCAATTCCCATTTGAATGCGAGTTGCTCCTAGGACGCGGCGAACTTGGTTGGTTGGTGGTCAGTGGGGGGCATTGTGGAAGCGGTTAGGGAACGTGCCTGGAAAAACTCTCACGCGTAATTTACAGAAGAGTGTTATCTACCGGCTGAGTATGATATTGATATATCCTGGACTACAGGGCCTTGGGAAAGATATCGTCATCCGGGTAGTGCAAAGAATGGGATACTAGTCTCGAGATGTCGTTAGCACCAGACTTGGGTTTGACCCGAATGCATTGAGTCAGCTCCGGACTCGCTCACAGATTATGGAATTCGACTTAGCTCGTGACTCAGTTGTTCCATTTTTCATTTGACTGAGTTCAGACTATAACATTGAAGTACTTAACTCATGACTCATGCAGGATGCAAAATGAATTATCGGATCTCTGGCTCATTTATATATGAATATATATATATATATATATATATATATATATATATATATATATAAATGAATATCTACCTCTGGTGTCTGGCTGAAATTTAGCAGTCTTCAGAGCTTAGGATGAACAACATTGGCTTTTCTGTTAAGGAATTGTGATAATACTGCTTTGCTGATCGTGCAAGAAGTTTGCATGCTGCATGGTGTTAATTTTCACACCGAAATGAGATGTGAACTTGCCTAGGGCGCACCATTTTTCTTGTGCTGTCAATTTGAACCCAGCCATATGACTCACTGATGCAACGTTGTGGAAAATAATC